ATGGAAAATCACAGTCAGCCTAGTCTTAGCCGAAGATGCATTATATAAATTGCTAGAGCTAGCTCTGCAATCTTGACTGATTGGTTTCTATTTCCACCCTTTCTTAAAAATAAATACAAGCACAACACTATTGTTAAGCTAAAATTGAATTGTATGATGGAGCATCTATTCACATGCCATTCAACATATTCTTAACATAATTAATCATTAAGACAACATTCTTCCTGAGTTCCTGAAAGAAAAGATTCAAAACTATGCTACCTTTGCTCTTCCACATTGACTTAAATCCATTCTCTAACTCAAATATCAAGATAGCATTTGACCCTCAAACTTTGTCTGAACGACATGGTCAAAACGGACAAAATCCGAGGATGAAATAAGTTGGAATTCTTAATATATGATACACGGTTAACAAAAAAAAAAAAGGTTCAAACATCAACAGCTAAACAGAAATCCTCCTTTGACACTAGTCTGATAACCACCATATTTCCTTAAGCTCTATAATCATCATTGTAATCGCATTCATACTATATAAAAGGACACTATACATATAATACAAAATCAGAACTTAGCAACCTCACAAAGTTTAAAAGAAGAGTTAAGACTAGTATACCTGCATCTATTATGAACAAGTGACATAGAGTTCTTAGCCTTGCACTCTTCTCTAAAACAGGCTGGAGGCTCACTAACTCTTCCTGTTAACGTTGCAAATAATTCAAAGCACTTCAGCAAAAACACCTTAACTAAACACTTGCATAAATACAACCAAATGAGCAAGAAGATATACCTCGGTCTACAACAAGGGAATCAGTGAAATATCCACATACAAGACACCTAAAAACCGCTTCTCGAATATCGGGTATAACTGAACTACATCTAATCACCATTCCCTTCAAGGATACCATCTTCTCAATATCTATCAAAGATCAAAACAAATACACCAAAATCACAATCATGCTTTAAAAACAATGGCTAACAACAAAAACACATATTTAGAGCAAATGTTAGAGGGAACAAAAAGTTTACCAGAAGGATTCAAATTCCTCATACAACTAGAAACTTTAAGATTAAAGATCCTAGCTTGTACATGCTTCTCAAAAAGGGGTTTAATCTTGGCAACAATATCCATCAAAACGATATCGAAAATCGCCAAAACTTCAAGAGGATACCTCACCATCTTATTATACAAATCAGGATCATAATCAAACACATGGTGTGCATCAACATCAAGCCAATCACCTTCAATCTCAATCACTCGTCGAATCGATCTCATATACTTCCCTTCCAACTCTCCACTCTCAAAATCAATAGATTCATCCCTAAAATTCCTCAAAAACCTAAGAATTGCACCATTAACATCCTGAACACTAATATTAGTCCCCCAAACATACATTGGAGGAGCATCATCACCATCAAACCCCTCCCCGGCTTCGGACGATGTCGGGGTGGGGGCAACGGGTGTCGAAGGAGTTGGGTCCCGCCTTGGTCCGCCTCTTCGGCGAGACCCAGTAGAAGAAGGGGTTCTAGCCTCATTTGAAGGGTTTAACCTTGACCGTAGTGGAGTTGAGGTGTTCGACGAAGTGGGTCTTTGACTCCGGCGAGTTTTCCGGCCGCCGTCTCCGGGAGAAGAGTAGGTGTTTCCGATTGGACTAGATGCGAAATCATCTGGGGAAGAAGGACCTGCAAAAAAATTGGGTTAAATTGAAATTGAATTGAATCTAAGAAATGGATTTTTGAGAGAGAGGAGAGAGAAAGAGAGGATTACCGCCATTGATGTTGCCGGGAGAAGAGTCGGACGCCATTGATGAGGGTTTAGGAGAGAGAAAATGAGGTTTTTTGGGGTTTTTTTTGGGAGAAATTGGGGAAAGTGAGTGAAAGAGTGTTGTTTTTGGGGGTTGGTTTGGCGGGAAATGGGTGTAATTCCCGCCAGAAATGGTTAGTGGGTTTAGGTTAAATCAGAAAATGTGAGTGGCTGATTTTTATGGGCTGGTTAATTTGTGCTTGGAGTTATGGGCTTTGTGGTACTGAAATTGATGGGCTAAGAATACTTTTTAGCCCTTTTTAGAGTTGATTTTAAGGGATTTAGCCATTTAAGACTTTTAGGTCCAAGTTCCAACAATAGGGCCAACATTCAAGATTAAGATTTAAGGTTAATTAGGTTTTAGGTTGGTTAATGTTTTTTTTTTTTTTTTTTTTTTTCATTCTTTGGTTGGAGTTACCAAATTCTATTTATGAACTCTATTTGGGAATCAGCAACAAATTCACAATTCAATATGTTGTATCTTTCAATTGTCTAGTTTGTGCATTTGTAGGCAAATCAATTTTTCTCATTTGCATTGTTTTGTTCATTGTGTGCACGTTAGAATAATTAAGTGAAAAGAGCGGAACAAGTCTGTCATTTGCGCACTTGAGTACAATTTCCGCTTCATAAGCAATACAAAAGATCAAGAAGTTGCATGGTTTTGTTGTCTCTGTTATGACTTTTTGTTGCTTGTTACAACTATCAGGTAATTTCTTGAGAACTAATTAAGGATTTCCTTATATTATAAAGAGAAATCATTGAATGATCAACATTTGTTCTGTTGATGATTTCGAAAAGCTCTCAAATCTGCAACTTGTAAACTATTTCTGGTTGACCAAATCATGTAAATCTTTGTATCCTTTGTTCCTCATTTTTATTATTACATTCTCTTCATTATTTTTATTGCTCGCTAGTTTTACACTTTGGGTAACACAACGTTTCCAATTAATTACATAGTGTCTGATTTCTGGTCCAGCTAAATTGCTTTGCAATTCTTTGTGAGATCGAAAGTTGTTAATCCATCATCCACGTCCATTTTGAATTTACTCTTCATAAAATTTATAAATTTCTCCCAACATTCAAATTCCCACGATATTTTTTCTTTTTTCTTACTTGCTCGCTTAATAGTCTTCGTAATTGTTACTTGTGTAGGTAATCATCCAAATATTACTTGTCTTCGTTATACCATCGAAATTAAAAATTGATTTTTTTTAATTTTTTTTTATCCTATTGCATGTCTCATTTTTGGTACTACATGGGTTATTTTGGAGCAAGTAAATCAACATTGATATAATTGGCTTTGAACCTTTAGTGCTTTACATACAATCATGATGACTGTCAATTTGCAATCTGCGCATTCCATGGCTTTCCATTAGAAAATTTGCAGTAAAAATGATGAAAAGATTTAAGGAAGATCGATTGGTGTAGCTCCTTGTTAAGGCCCCTACCTTCATGGAATATGAATTCAACTGTAGTTGAACAGCAGAATGAATAAACCTTTGAATTTACAGATTCTCATAATAATTACTTTTGCATCCTCTTTTGTTTTTACTGGCCCCAATTTTTAAGGCACGAATTCATCAATAGTATCAAGATATCTTGTTTCCCCAACTTTGTATAATTACCACTTTACCATAAACTATAAACTAACAACTTGTTTGTTTAGAGGGATAGAAAATGGGGATAAGGATAAAAGAGGAGGGATTTAACAAGTTTTTTGTTTGTTTAGAGGGATGGAGATTAGAAGGGGGGTAGGAGGGGGATAAAAAAGGTAGTTATCCCTCCAAATTAATACTAAGGGGGTGGTATAAGGAATGGGGTTTAAATTTAATGGTAAAAGACATTTCTACCCTTAATGAAAGAGAAAGGAGAAGAGAGTGAAGAAAGGATAGTAGGGGTAATTTTATATTTTTATTAGTTATTCCAATCTAATCCCAACTCATACCAAACTATAGAATACACTATTTCTATCCTTATCCCATCTATTAATTCCACCTTCTTATCCCACTTATTATCCCACTTAATTCTATCCCTCCTACCAAATGCCCCGTAACTGTTTTAACTGCAAATGAATATAACCTCTTCATTTGAAGTAAGCGGTCTCTTGCTAAGCAAAAGATTTATCATTGCTAAACCTCCAAGAATCGATGAAGAAATTGTTTTCCACCCTTTACATAATACCAAACAATGAAAAATCAAAAAAGTTTGCTGTCAAAATAAATGAAGCCTAAGGTCCAATTTTTTTTTTTAACTTAATTATTTCAGCTCAGTTCAACTCAACTCATTTTTCTAATTTGGTTCACTTTAGTTCGGGGTCTAAAACAAGCGCGGGTCATGATCATTTCACTTTGTTTCACGGGCTAAAACAGTATTTGCTTGCTTCCCTATATATTTGAGTTGATCGAAGATAATTTGATTATGCAGAATTCTCACTAAAGTGATTTGGCTCAAAACACAGGAACTAGGACCCTTGTTTTAAGGATACTTGCACGCTTTAATTTGTTGTACAATAAAGTTGATGTAAACTAGGTCCCATGCTCCATGACATTAATATAATTATGTTTAATAAGTCAACTTAACGTATGGAAAATCGAGCATTATGATGTATAAACTTTTAATTGTTTTGTAATGCAACCTAATAAAGCTTATAATTTAAAGGAACATTTTGTTTTGTACAAAAAAGGGGGAGAAATAGGGATGAAATGGTGCTTTAATGCTAGTACTTTTGGAGGTTTTGCATTTGTGCCTTTGGAACTAACATACACAATGAAGAAACATAAAGGTCCAATATTTATAGTATCGGTTTTAACATTAGATGAGTGAGCTTATAAAAGAATGTTCCTATAGCAGCTTTAGTTTGTTTTTTTGGTGTTTAAAAAGCACAAAGGCGGATGATGAGAATCGCTCCTAATATCTCTTGAAATTGGAAGGGGAACTCTAACCACTTAAGTTATCTCTCACTCTCATAGCAGCTTTAGTTAATGGCATGACATAATACATACTACCTCTGTTCCTGAAAGTTCGACTCACTTACTATTCATCTGGTCAAAATAAAATAACTTTGACCACATATTATGATTTATACAATAGAAATAAATTAATATGAGGGGTCTTATTAGATTCCCCTTATTATAAAATTTTCAAATATCAACTTTTTATAATTTTCATTTATACATAGCCGAAAATATTCATGGTCAAAGATGTTTTTGGAGACCGCGCAAATGCAAAGTGAGTCAAACTTTCAAGAATGGAGGGAGTATTACATTTTTCACCATAATATACATGGTAATTACCTGTCTTTAAAGTTGTAAAATGTGGATCCTTTGATACCCGATTTTTGGAATAAAAACCTATCTACATGCATGTTTGCCCTTGGTTGTCCATTTGCTATCCAAAATTGGAAAGTAGACAACATATGTTAACATAACAATCATGATTATACATGACACTTTATCATTACCTTTGTCCAATACTTGTATATAGTTATTTATATACCTACCAAAATTGGTTGTATCCTATGATCTCTATCAGTAGTAGTTATAAGTAAATTTTCCCTCCATACTTACATTAAGTTATTTGCTACATCGCATTACATACTTTAGCTCGGTATGTGTTGAAGGGATTAATAATCATCTCAAAAAAAACAAAAAAAAAAAAGGATTCTTTAATTGTATAATCATTAGCCAATAGCCATTTAAGGAACTACATAAAACAAAACTTCTATACTCCGTACTAATCAAGATTTGCTATTTGGCTACACAAGGATCCACTAGGCAGTGCTATGATACAAAGATTACAAACGACAACAAACCCCGTGAATACTACCTCTTAAAATTTTGCCACACGATAACTTAAATATTGGAAAAGATTACAAATAATCTTGCAGCGGAAATAATATTTACTTTCCCTTTGTATATAAACAAAATAAGTAACAAATATCTCTATAATATAATAGATTAACTCACAAAGTGTTTATAAATTATAAAATAATATTCGATGGTATACTCTCAAATTTAAATCGTGTTTCTATTTATCAAAAATAATGTGATACAAATTCTATCTCAATTTACAATTAACACGTAATCTGATTACATATTTATAATCAGCCTATATCTAAATAACTAATGATGCAAATTATCGTTATATAATTTGCCATTGATTATTTCTTATTTTGCTACTATTCTCCTTCTTTTTCTCTCCTTTTATTCCTCTTATTCTTTTTCTCTTCTTTCTTGTAAATTCTCCTTTAGCAAACTCTAATAATGAGGAATATTATCCAACATTAAATACGGTACTAATGATCCACAAGATATATGATTAATGCAACCATAGAATAATCACAGATTTACCCAATTCAAGGGGCCTAAAATTAGACAAACTAACATCCAAAATTCTATCAATTTAACTTTTTCAGTACCCATGATTTCATGCACTCCACATACCAATTCCATAAAATGTGGAAGTGACATGATCACATTATGTGCATGAAGTCATAACACAAAGTGTAATAGAATAACGCAAAATTTTAACTAATAAATCAGTAGATAATACCCAATAAATCAATATTCCTATGAATGACATTCAACATGTTTGAGCCAATGAACAAACAGTATGCAATTTAATGTCCGGTAACATCATCATTCATCATCAAAATCTAAGAAATTGATGCAGTACTGTAGAGTTGTAGTGTTCATAAATAGGTTTCTTTGCTTTTTCTCCATAGTTTGCGGCTTAACACCAAAATTTGCTTTTTTTTTTTTTTTTTAATCTTTTCTTTTTAAAAAAAAATGAGTATAATAAAGTGGCATAGCAACATAATACAGATTAATTTACAGCAGATTTCACTCAGCCAACACTTAAATTACTTTAAAAATAATACTAATACATACAATACATATATCATGAAAAAAACAAATACTGTATATACGGTTTAAACTTAAGACATCGTTATTTATCTCACAAACGATAAGCCAATTCGATGGTCATATGGTTGAATATAAGCAATTATACTCCGTACATCTTATGAAATTTTATAAGTAGTGAAATCATAACTTTTTATGTAGTTCACTAATCACTACAACTTAACAACATAGTTAGCAAGCTAAGTAAACAATTTAATCATATTAGGCCGGAAAACCGATCTTTCAATTCCAAATTATGTTCCTACGAGTATATATTAACTAAGTACAATCCAAAAAGACACATGACTACATGAGTTTTTATTAACAGTCAAATTCTTGACTAAAAGTCTAATATAGAAGCAACAAAGTAACACATCAATACATGAAATATTGAGTCATGTTTCAAAATGAGCCTCATTTATTTCTATACTTTGGTGTAACTTTTTAAAACAAATTAAACATTAGCAACAAAAGCAATTATTCATTTATTATTCCACATTCCATAAGATGAGTAATTAATCAAAGATTAAGAAAATGTCAACTAAAGTGAAGAGTAACATTAATGCACATCTTTTTAAGAGAAAGCTCCAAGAAGGCTCTTTAGTCTTTAGTAGAGGAAGTATGGTGGAAATGCAAGAAAAAGAGGATGTATCTATCAAAAGACATAGTACAACTCATTGAGTTAGTGATATCCTCCTTTTAAGAAAGCATTAAGAACATTGTTATGCGAAGATCAGGTGCTTTAAATGCATCATGAAACATCATCATCTATAATTAATTAACTAGGAAAGCTTAATCATGTCCACAATTGCCATAATCTAATTAAACTAATAACGACGTACTTCAATCGATCCCACAACCTTTTTCCTAATGAGGAAAAAGGATTTGTAAACTTTAATCAACAAGTAAATGTCACTAAGGTAAGCTTAAGATTAATAATAATAATTAGGTGAGTCGATATTCGAAAATGCAAGAATTTTTTCCATCTTTAAGTACAAAGGATATATTCCTTTAAAGGTAATTTGTGTCACTTAAGGGTATCAATCTTTTTATTTTCATAATTGAGTGTAATGTAAAGTCTCTTTATTGAAAAAGAATTTTTAATCTAGGGTTTATTTAAAAAAGTCTTTGTACTACCCAACAAAGTTACAAGATGCCCACTTATTCTTGCTTATTTTTGAGAATTTTAGCTAAGTCACAAAAATATGTCCAAAACTTTAAGGGTGATACCTAAAAGAAATGCAATTATTCTTTATTTGCTAATTTTCAGCATCTGTAGTTTAAATAAAATTATATTATGGCCCGGTTTCATGAAAGTTGCCTAACATAAAAGAAATTAAGGACTTAGTTGGGGGGACATAAAACAATACTCATCTTGTCATGTTTGAGCAAATTCAAATATGGCCAAAAATATGTGAGACATCCCTTCACACTATGAGAGACTTGCAACATGATAGGTTTCATATTGCTGATCTCCCCTTATAATATACAACCTCTAATAGTCACATTGATAGTGTAATTCAAGTCATGACAAAGAAGTGTGAACTAAATTCTAGGTGCTAGATGTGCATCAAGAGAAAGGCAGATTCAGACACACACTAACATAAAAGAACGAACTTAGAAAAATGATGATTATGATCTCTGGTATGATATAGATAAGTAGTTAGTTAAATAACAAATGCATAATGCAATAAACCATAAGCATGGATTCTAGAATGGAGGCATTACAGAAACCAAACTGTAAGACAACCTATTTTAATCTTTATTTCAAAAAACCTAGGCATCTTCATAAAATAGACTTAAACATGACCATGTTTAATAAAAATTATAGCCGAGTCTGAGTAACATAGCATCAGAGAAGAATATCTCTTGATGTTAGGTGAAATTATGGAGGGATTGGTTAAGATGAGTATCTTGAATCTTACCTTGTACTTGTACAAGTCTAATTCTAACAGTAGTTTTTCTTTTGTACAAAAAGCTGAACTTGTGAGTCTATACATGATTATTATTGATTACACTAGCAAATACTTCTAATAATTAGCTAATCACAAAGGAAAAAGTAATTCTAACAGTAGTCTAGGTTATTTACTATGTAAATTCGCATTTGACAATTTAACCTAATGCTTCCTTATTATATTGTATAGCTAGCTTGTTCTTCATTTCTCCAGTATGAATCGAGTACATGATCCCTTTTATTAAGTACTTTATTTCTTAATCGAGTTCTATCTTATTAGTTGAGCAAACTGCAAACACAAATCGCTCCAAATCTCATTAATAATCACAACTCGCTACGACATACCCTCGAAAATCCTTAGGTGAACAAACCTTCTAGGAAGACCTCTTCATATAATATCCTAAGTTTTATTAAGAAATGAAATCGTACTTGTTAATTAAGTACGATTATTGTTCTCTTACATGTGTATGAAAAGAAGAGGTTCTTCGAAATGATGCTTGCTTTACCAATATGATCAGGTGGAAATGCATGCATTAAGGACAAATAAACAAAAGCCAGTATTCTAAGCCTAAATCTAATTATACAATCATACATGTACTAATTAATTTAAACCACAATTGCATTATTCTAATCCCGCCAACGAAACAGATAAGAAGGGGCAAAAAGTATGCTTAGGAGAAGATTAACAAAACATAATCAATTCATTAGCTAATTAAAGATTGACATTGAGCTCATCACAAGAAAGAAAGCACCCTTAATTAAATTAAACAACAAGAATTAATTAAAAGAAGAAGACAAACACTGCAAAATCTATCAACAAAGCTAACAAGATCATATATTATATTCAAAGTACATATTAATTAAAACATAAACATACATAATATACAACAGATCCCCAACAAAAGATAACTAACAATTTTATTAAATATAATTGAAAATTAATAAAGATTAAGACATTAGAGAGACAAGATCAAATAATTTGGCCATTGGAATTATTAACAAATTGGGTAATGTCTCTCATCTGTCCTTAAATTGTCTTATATGCTCTAGCTTAAAGACAACATAAACATAATATAATAAGATTTAATTGTTATTAATTATTTTGCAGGAGGAGAAAAATCAATTTAACAAAAAAACTAATTTTAATCTTAATTACACTAATTTAATTAATTAATTAGGCCTTGGATGGGGGAAGAACTGCATACCAGGCAAGAAAGCATTGAAGCTAGGAGCAGAATATAGGGATGCAGGGTGGTATATATTTGGATGTGTCCCGGCCGCCATGGAGGTGGCGGTACCCGTGATATTGAACGGGTGGTGATCGCTCGTGGCGATCGATGAGGCCTCACCACCGCGTCTTGCGGTGGTGGGGCCTTGATCATAGAGTACCCCTTTGAACACATGCCCTCCTATGGTAATTGAGGTTTGATAAGCATATTGATCTACCACATTATCCTCTGAGCTAACCCGAATGCATCGAAAAGTCGCCGAGGAATTCACTTCTGCCGGAAAATTCCCCCCTTCTAGCCCTGCAACAATTGTCAACAAAATCAAAATACTTTCACAAATAAGCCTAGATAATTTAACAAAAAATGATTATCATTATTAGGGTTTTGTAGGAATAGTGAATGAATAAATAAAATTGGAATAAAAACAACTTATTAATTAATAAGGTTCCAAAAACTGTATAATAAGATGTACTTACTATATAAATGTAACATGAAGTTAGATCTAAATAATTTAGTGTTGTTACAAAAGAAGGAAAAAAAAAAATCAAGTGTAATAATTTTGTCAAAAAGAACAAAAGAAATTTCAAAGAAAGAAAGGGAAAGATAGAGAAAGGAGGTACAATAATTAGGGTTTACTCATGAATAGTACTTCTTGTAAGGAATCATAACATAGCTACAAAGCTACTAAAATAAAAATAAAATAGAAATAAAAAGCTAAAACTCAAGAAAAGGACTAATCTTGACCTAGCTATATCACATACCAAAAAAACAAAAACACCCAAAAAAACCAAAAAATAAAATAAAATTTCAAAAATGACAAAAAAAATGTGAAAAATAATTTATTACCAGCAGAAGTAGGGCTATGATGATGAATGTTTGATAGAGAAAGAGGTAAAGGAAGGTATTGATTATAATGATCCATAGTATTCGACGAGGCGAGGCGGCCGTGTTGATGATGTTGTTGTTGTTGTTGCTGCTTTTGACGCCTTCGAGCAACCGGAACCCAAGTACTTTTAACATGAGTAGCACATTGAAAACCTCTACTCTTACAACAAGTTCTGCACCTCATATGTTCACAATCTCTCTTTGCTTTGTTTCCACAATCTTGACAACTTGTATTAGTACTACTACTTCCTCCACTTGAGGATCTCATCATCCACAATTTATTACTATATTTTTCTCTAAATTTGCACTACTACTTTGCGGCTATTACTACTACTACTACTATTAGCATCGATCGAATGAACTAACCCACCATTCTAGCTATATATATATATATGTCACGATTCTATTCGTGCATTTTTATATAATAATAATAATAACAACGGATACTGATACATATGCGGAGACAGGTAACGCATGGTGGTGTGGTTTTATCATTGGGGTGGTGGGATAATATAAGATCTAAGATTTACTATTGTAGATTGTTTTGAAGATAAGGTTTGTGGGTTTTTTTTTTTTTTTTTTTCAACTTAATTTTGGTTAAATTGTATTCAAAAAGAAAATTGATCTAAATTTAGTACTATGTAAGAATTGAAGTATGTTGATATAATTGTGGGATTTATGTTATGTGGGGAACATAGGAAATCTATGAAAATTTCAATCATAATCTAAAATAATAGTGACTGAAATAATAATATTAATAATAATAATAATAAAAAGCGATGATCAAAATATCATGGTTAAGGTTTTAAGATAGAGGAGAGAGAAAATGGAAGAAGATAACATAGTCACAGTCTCCAAAGAGAAGCAGAACAAATAGTACTTACTCTTTTAGAACAGTAGCATAAAAACTCAGGTTGCTAGCTTTTGGCTTAATTTGCTCTTTTTAATTTCATTTTTTTTTTAAAATTTTTTTGTAAGATGATTTTTGCTTTGTTTTGTTTTGTCCTGTTTTTCCGGAAAAGTCTGTGTGTTTTTTCCTTTTGCTTGACCCTACGTGAGACGAGGGGGTGAACAAAATAAGCTAGTGAGGGTTTAAAATTGAAATTGTTCTTCCCCAACTCCATTATAAAAAGCAAAAAACCCTATTTAGTTTTTAGTTTTTTACCCTATGTGTTAGGATAGGATGGTGATAATGTAGCTTTTTGAATGTTTGAAATCGACAAATTTAACGGTAAATATATTAAAGTTGTAATTTTTACAGGTGTACCTGTGAAGGTATGTATGAGTGTTTACTTTAGAAAAGAATCTTGTTGAACGGTGAAAAATTTCCTATTGAGCGTTATATCCCACCTATTCCTCCTTGATATTGAAAAAGGGAGGAGAATTGAAATTAAACTTTGAATTCTCTTGCGTGCTTTTTTTTTCAATTTGGGATTGTTTAGCTATTTAGGACTAGCCGACTAGGTAGGAATTTATTTTTCTCCCGTGTCATTTTCCTCTCCACAGTCCTTGGATTCCTCACTGCATTCGTGTCTGTCGTTTAACCCTATTCCTCATCTTGCAAATCATACAAAATACGGAGTACTTTATGTTATCATTCAAATTGTATGTGCATAAGATAAAATTTTGTTCTCTTAGAAGCAAAATGTACGTAATGTAACGTATGTACGTATTTTATTTGAGTTATGTTTGAAACTCACTCAACTCCAAAACCCTGACCACCATAATCTTTTAGAAGATGTTATGGGTTATCATCGATTTTTTTGCTAATTGTAAGCCCTAGTTTTCATCATCTATTTGTGAGAGTCTTCACATATTTCCAAAGTAAAAAGTCTAACAAATATCTAATTGAAAATAACTTCAATTTAAATACGACATCACATGATATTCAATAGATTGCTTTCCTATGTCGTCACATTATAAATTTAAACATATTACAACTAAATACTCCATTTACCAAATAAGCCGTAAAGATAAAAATTCAATTAGCGTAACATTAATTATACTTTATACTCCGTATATATGACATCCAACAAATAACAAAACTTCCACTCCTAACCTCAAGTGTTGGTTGGGTGATTCTCTATGCAAGAACAGTAGAAAACAGTACAGATGCTCCTAGTTTAAGCTGAACAAAAGTAGCTAAAAGAGGTACACCAGTTTTAATGGCAAGTCAAGTTCAACCCTTCTACTTTTAACAGTTTAAGTTTAACTGCTACTCTTTCGGTCTTTCCCCCTTAAAAAAGGCGTTTTCAAAGGTCCCATTTTTATTTTCTCTCCTCGTAAACCTCCGTTTTCTCTAGGTGGATACCATTAGCCAATAATATCATGCCACCTTTACATGAGCAAAAAAAAAATTGGTACGACAACAATTTCCAGAGTATAGAGTGGAATTTCCACTAATTTAAGCTAGATTCAGGGTATACGTGCTGCAGAGGTGGATTTTTAAAAGAAAAAACATTCCTGACTAATTTCTAAACTTCATTTTATTTAATTCTCAAGGAATCAACGTACTCTTAACGTTCCTTCATTTGTTATTTTACTTAGAAATTTACAACTTAGGAAATGTTATTATGCTACATATATACCCTATATTCACTTAATAACATTATTAACAAATCGTACATGATGAATTAGAGTGTACTCGAAATAACTACTTGTATATGGTAGAATAAAAAGATACATATAGACTATATTATTAGCATAACGGGTGACAAAATAATTCTTAGCATGCATGATCGAAAAAGACATGTCGCAATATTAATACATCTTCATCCTTGAGCCAAATGTATGTTGCTGCTAATTAAGTTGCCTTTGATAACTCATTGAGCTTCAAAAATCTCTTTGAGCTGCGGGAGAGAAAAGGGGGTTTTTAATGCTTATTTGCTTGATATGTAATCACACATGAAGTTAAAAGTGCTACATGAAATGGAAACATAAGAAATTATTTGGTTAACAAAAGTAAAGAAATCTGTAATTTCTAGAAAAGTTTGCTTCTCACAAAACAAAGAAACTTGATTACCTAAACCCTCTTGTGGCCTTAAGTATGCTTTTTCATGAGAAGTTAAATATTCTACAATTAATCAACCAAAAAATTGGTACACTTCACATACAAGAAATGAATATTCATGGGCACTTGAACTAGCTAATATGGAGTACTTTACATGTTGAGCCAAACCAGAATGTGCTAAGAAAAACGAATAATTGTGTTACGCTTTCTAGAAATGGTAATTGGACATTTACATTGAAATTAACCACTTAGCACTCAATCATGAGCTTAAAAGATGTGAGATTGAGAAATTTAGGCTGGGGAAGTAGATAAGATTTTTAGCAAAGCAAAACATTCATTCAGCAGAGTAGAACAGGTTTCACTTAACGGAGCAGAACAAAGCAAGACAGAGCAGAGCAGCTCTAAATAACAAGCTTACTACATTGATCTCTTACTTAACTCAAATCAAATGCCTTTCTCTATTGGCAAGTAAACTTGGACATACTAAAAAAAAAAAGCACTACATTATAAAACTTAGTCAAATATTCTAAACCTTAAGAATCACAACCATTAACAAGTTGGCACTTGGCATAATATTGAAACTATGACAAAGTTACCTGCAATGCACAGCATGTGAAGAACCTATACTTTCTATTACTCACTTCTTGTAAACTGCGCACTTTCTTTAGCTTGTTCTTCGAAGCCTCCAAATTCTTTATTTTTCTAATATTGAAATAGTAATAAATTAATAAAGGTACATAATGATTAATTAAGAAAATTAAATTACTGTAGATGTAATCAACGTGTATTAGTGTATTAGGCCAAAGTTGTGAGGTACAGAGAAAGAGACATGTAAAAGAGTTGATTATGATTTCACGCGGATGTATAAGTAGACTAGTAGTGTTACTTTCATGCACTTTTAATGGGAAATACCTTGATTTCTTAATATTAAGCTGTCTCTTATTTTGGAACCAGCAGCTTTTCTCCTACTGACTAGTGTAACATATGCCATACAATTTTGTCAAATATGTTAGTACCTTTATATACATTAAATCATCGCGAAAAATGATAAACGTAATCTTAATGATGTGTTTAATAAACAGTAATAGAATGAATGTCAGAAAGTTTAGAGTGGTTGCCAAAATAAAATCGAAGGCATGACTACAATTATTGTTTGATTCTTAACCTTCTAATATTGCTGACTAATCTTGTCCATTCATTTAGACATTTAGTTGATTTTAAATTATTAGTATATAATACTTTAAATTATTATTCCGTAATATATAATTGAACAACTAATACAATTAACTTACTACAACGTAATCTATGATTAAGAAAAATGGAGTTTCATTCTCACCAATTCTTCATGTGTACATATGATTTTTTTTTTTTGGGGGGGGGGGTTAGAATGTCATAAGGGTAGATAACGAGAATCGATCATAGGATCTTCTTTAGACATTATGTAAGGTAATCACTCAAAAAATAAAACTTGTATACAAACTTCTCCACATAATGCGCGCCTTGCTTGCTAATTCGTTATTCGCATGTTTTGTACTATGTATTGCCATTTTATGAAACACATATCAAAAAATAAATTTTCCTTAAAAATTACTCGTGGATTTGTAATGCTAAAAGAAGAGTTTTTTTTTTTTTTTTTTTTTTTTGACAGGTAAAAGAAGAGTATTTTGGACGTATAGAAAACAACTAAAATTCATCAAAAAATGTTTTCGAAGGAGCAAAAAATTATGACAATATGAACTTAAGGAGCAATAATTAATGAGAAATTGATAAGAATAATTAGTAGTTGTATAAATGTCCTAAATAGCAGTATCTAGGTACATCGAGTACACGTTCACTTTCGGCGGACTGTCCCTGATTTCGTATATACGAAGAGTCAACCATTTGTAATTCTACACTCGTACTAACCGATCACTCGATATAATAACCTCAACGTGAAAATCATATCAAAAAACTTGGGTTAAAAAAAGGGTGTCATGTGTTCATGTCACTTTTGGTTACAATATCTTTTTTTTTTATTTTTTTAAATGGAATTTTGCCTTTATTTACAGAGAGTATTAGTTATTATAATTAACGACAACTTCAATACGTTTTGCGGCTCTCTCTAAGCCTAAAAAACTATGTTTTATAGCTCGCAATTAAGTTGATGGAAATGATTAAATAAAAAATGATATGGTGAAAACAATGCTGCTCAATGTTTAGAATTGAATGTGGATGTTAAATATCTTGATTCGTTATAGTCTAAGGCCCTGTTCAATTCACTTAAAAAAAAATATTCAGTAAAAATAATTTTAATTTAGTAAAAATAATTTCAATTCAGTAAAATTAATTTCAGTTCAACAAAAATCAGTAATTCTAAAGAAGAAATATAATAGAGAATCGGTAAAAATAATTTCGGTACACCAAAATTAATTTCAATTCAGTAAAAATGATTTCAGTTCAGTAAAAATAATTTAAGTTCAGCAAAAATAATTTCAGTTCAGCAAAAATAAGGTGTAGTGAACAGGGCCTAAAAGAGTTGTACTTCAAAGTTGATATGGAATCTTGTCCAAATAATTTTTCATATCCTAATAAAAGACATTTTAAGGTTACTAAAACATATACTCATTGATTTTTTAGTCGGGCAATTTTATTAAATCAAGTCAATTCCCGCCAAAGTTAGGAAGCTTTAGGGGAAATTAACAAACCATACATACATAGTCTCATTGACACTATATCTAGCAACAAGATGAGCTAAAGTATTACCAACTTTTAACTTTCTAATGTCTTCATAGAAAAGCATCAGAGTAGAGTATCCCATTCCTTCACCGTTGATGGTGTTCACCACATTGGAAGCATCACATTCGAGCTCTAGCTTCGTATACTCATTGATTATATGTGTACAATGTATATTTTAACTACTAAACGCACTATAACAAAGTTGATCAAGCTCAATTCATCAATCAGTGATTGTACAGACAGGTGTACCATGCGCATGGTACTCCCAAAAGAACATCACCTATAAATAAAAGAACATAACTTATAAATAAAAAAAACATTACATATAAATAAAAGAACATTATCTATAAATAAAAGAACATAACTTATAATTAAAAGAACATTACATATAAATATATTCTTTGAATTTATATAATAATGGGCATATAAAAAAAATCCGGAAGAACAATACCTATAGATAAAAGAGCATAACTTATAAATAAAGGAACATTACATATTATAAATAAAAGAACATAACTTATAAATAAAAAAAAAAAACTATACATATAAATAAAAGAACATTAAATTTACAATAATCAAAGTTATAATAATTTATTATACATTACAAACTAACATATAGTACATCATATTTTCTGAAAAAGAACATTGTATATAAAATAAAAAACATTAAATAAAAATCATAATTATAATAATTTATCATACATTACAAACGAACAT